TCTGCAACCTCTGCCTCCTGGGTTCAAGCGATTCGCCACCCTCAGCCTCCTGAGTAGCTGGGACTACAGGTGCATGCCACCATAAGCTAATTTTTGTATTTTTTAGTAGATACAGCCATGTTGGCCAGGCTGGTCTCCATCTTCTGACCTCAGGTGATCATCCAACCTTGGCCTCCCAAAGTGCTGGGATTACAGGTGTAAGCCACCACACCGAGCCAAGCACACTTTCTGACTGGATTTTAAGTCAGTGCCTATCTTTGTATCCTACTGAAAGAGTAAAGGCAGTTCAAACTAAAAACTAGTAGGTTCTGCCTTTTCATCCTGGAGTTTTCATTTGTTTAGCCATGAGAGATGAAAAGCTAGGGCTCTTGAGCCAGACAGCCAAGTTGTGAATGCGAAAGAAAAGTTATTAAAGGAACTTCAAAGGGCTACTCCATGTGACACATAAATGATAAGAAAACAAAACAGCCTTATTGCTCTCATGGAGAAAGTTTGAGTTGTGTAGACAGAAGATCAAACCAGCTACAACTTTCCCTTAAGCAAAAGTCTAATCCAGAGTAAAGCACTAATTCTTCAATTCTATGAAGGCTGCAGAAGAAAAGTATGAAGTTAGTAGAGGCTGGCTCACGAGGTTTAAGGAAAGCTTTCTTGATAACATAAAAATGCAAGGTAAAGCTGCAAGTACTGATGTAGAAACTGCAGCAAATTATCCAGAAGATCTAGCTATTTTTTTCTTTTTTTCTTTTTTTGGGAGACAGAGTCTCACCCTGTCACTCAGGATGCGGTGCAATGGCACGGTATCAGCTCACTGCAACCTCCGCCTCCTGGTTCAAGTAATTCTTCTGCCTCAGTTTCCCAAAAAGCTGGGACTACAGGCACACGCCACCATGCCCAGCTAATTTATATATATATATATATATATATATTTTTTTTTTTTAGTAGAGATGGTGTTTCTCCATGTTGGCCAGGCTGGTCTTAAACTCCTAATCTCAGGTGATCCACCAGCCTTGACCCCCCAAAGTGCTGGGATTACAGGCATGAGCCACCCCAGGCCAACAACAGATTTTCAATGGAGACAAAACAGCCTTCTATTGGAAGACACTAGGTCTTTCATAAGTTTTCATTGAGGAAAAGTCAATGCATGGCTTCAAACCTTCAGAGGACAGGCTGACTTTCTTGTTAAGGGCTAATGTAGCTGGTGACTTCAAATGGAAACCAATGCTCATTTACTATTCCAAAACTCCTGGGGCTCTTAAGAATTATGCTAAACCTACTCTGCCTGTGCTCTATCAATGAACAAGGCCTAGATGACAGCACATCTGTTTACAGTATGGTTTACTGAATATTTTAAGCACACTGTTGAGAACTACTGCTCAGGAAAACAAAAAATTCTTTTTGAAATATTATCACTCATTGACAATACACCTGGTCACCCGAAAGTTCTGATGGTGTTGTACAAGGAGATCAATAAAATTGATTTCTGTAAGACTACAGATGCCATAGACAGTGATTCTCTAATGTATATGGAGGAAACGTCAATTTAAAACCTTCTGGAAAAGATTAACCATTCTAGATGCCATTAAGTATATTTGTGAGTCACAGGAGGAGATCAAAATATCAACACTAACAGGAGCTTATAAGAAGTGGATCCCCATCCTTATGAATGACTTTAAGGGGTTCAAAGCTTCAGTGGAGGAAGTCAATGCAGATATGGTAGAAATAGCCAGAGAACCACAACTAGAAGTGGAGCCTGAAGATGTGACCAAATTGCTGCAATCTCCTGATAAAATTAGAAGAGATGAGGAGTTGCTGCTTATAGATGAGCAAAGAAAATGGTTTCTTGAGATGAAATCTACTCCTGATCAAATACTATGAATATTGCTAAGATGATAACAAAGGATTTAGAATATAACAACAACTTAGTTAATAAAGCAATAGCAGGGCGTGAGAGAACGGACTCCAATTTTGAAAGAAGTTCTGCTGTGTGTGAAATGCTACCAGACAGCACTGCATGCTACAGAGAAATCTTTTGTGAAGGAAAGAATCAACTGATGACACAAACTGCACTGCATTGCTGTCTTAATTTAAGACATTGCCACAGGCAGGTGTGTGACCACCTTCAGTGATCACCACCTTGACCAGTCAAAAACCATCAACATTGAGGCAAGACTCTTTACCATCAAAAATGTTGTAACTGGCAGAAGGTTCAGATGATTGTCAGCAGTTTTTAGCAATAAAGTATTTTTTAATTCATATATGTAAGTGTTTTTTGAATACAATGCTATTATATACCTAATAAAGTATACCACAAAAACTTTTATATCCATTTGGAAACCAAAAAGTTCATGTAATCACTTGACTGTGATATTAGCTTTATTATGGTGGTCTGACACCAAACCTGAACTACCTCTGTGGTATGACTGTCAATTTCTATACAAGCATTAAACAATATAATCATGAATTTATGTTCATGAATAAGATGTTACTTCTCTTTTTTCAAAGCATTTGAATTAAAAGAATACTATGAATGTACTTTATGGCTTACAAAAGCACTCAGAGGTTTCTCCCACATTGTCAGTATCTTCACATTCAATTGCTGTAATATTGAAATATTCTGGTTTTTAATTATTTTAGAGTAATGTAATCCAACCTATTTCTTCTAAGTGACACATAACTCTACCTTAAGAAAAGGAACCAGATGAGGCTGAGGTGAAGACTTGAGTTCAACATACAGTTTCCTAGTGAATTCTTCCGCTTCAATTTTTGCATCCTGAGAGATGGGAGAAATAGAAACAATTTTAAGTCTACATATATTTTCAAAGAGACAAAGTATATAATTCATGATTACAGACACAGCAAGCTTTTCACAAATGATAGAGTCCATTAAACATAGGCTCTGTTTTATGCCAGCTATGAAATGTGTAAGCATAAATGATAGAGATATTTACTCATAGAAAATACAATGAAGGGGTGATTTTTTTTTCTTTTAAAGATCCCAGGAAGCAAAGAGAAGAGCTGACAGGCTGAGTAATACTTGTTACATTCTGCTAAGAACAATTAAGAAGTGAAGGCAAAGGTGTCCTAACTTTCTTAGGGTAGGGAATAGGAAGTTATTCAGTTTGGAGACCTTGGTGTTTAAGTTCTCTAAAACAATCTGGAAATTAATCTGCTACTTGCTGCTGTTCTTTGCACACAAGAATCAGGGACAACACTTTCAGAATACCTTGATGCCTGTGATAGTGTGTAACATGTAGCTGAATGAATTATCTTATTATTTTCAAATGTATGAAATATAGCTTTATAAAAATTTGCCTTCTAGAGTATATTATATACCTAATAAAGACTGTAACTGGGTGATAACAGAGAACATCTGTTCTTTTCTTTATGAAGTCATGGAAGGAGCAGTCAAGGAAAGGTAACTATAACCTTAGATTTTAAAAATAATAATTTCAGCTTTTATTTTAGATTCAGGAGGTACCAGTACAAGTTTAGGGTAGAGATGATCTCGTCACCCAGGTAGTGGTATCTGAGAGGTAGTTTTTGAGCCCACACACACCCCTCACTCCCACTCTCTAGTAGTTCTGTCTATTGGTCCCATCTTTATGTCCAGGTGCACTTAATGTTCAGCTCCCACTTATAAGTGAGAACATGTAGTATCTGGTTTTCTATTCCTGTATTAATTTGCTTAGGATAATGGCCATTCATTTTGTGACAAAAAACATGATCTTGTTCCTTTTATGGCTGTGTAGTATTCCATGGTGTATATGTACCAGTTTTTTATTTATCCAATCCACTATCAATGAACACCTTGGCTGATTCCATGTCTTGGCTGTTTTGAGTAGTGCTGTGATAAACATACAAGTGCATTTGTCTTTTTTATAGAATGATTTATCTTCCCTTGTGTATATAGCGAGTAATAGCATTGCTGGGTCAAATGGTAGTTGTATTTTTAGTTTAAGAAATCTTCAAACTGCTTTCCACAGTGGCTAAACTAATTACAGCTATTGATCGACTTACGACCTATGCAACTTACGACCATTCGACTTTACGACCACAATGTTTTGCAAATATTAAACCAGTTGTATTGGTAATGCAGTGTTTTACTTAAACCTGATGAATGTAAAAATAAGAAACAAAATGGTGTAGAGATGATACAAATGGCATAAAATGAACAAAGAAAATTATGACATATAACAATAATGAAAGAAAATTATGATAAAATATGACTTAAAGATTTTTATAACATCATTTCACAGTCCTGTACATATAGCCTACTAAACTTACGACCAAATCATGTTACGACCGGTCTGTCAGAACCAATCATGGTCGTAAGTCGAGCACTAGCTGTACATTCCCACCAACAGTGTAGAAGTGTTCCATTTTCTCCACAGCCCCACCAGCATCTGTTTTTTGACTTTTTAATAAGATCAATTTTGACAGGTATGAGATGGTATTTAACTGTGGTTCTGATTTGCATTACTCTGATGATAAGTGATGATGAGCATCTTTTCATGTTTGTTAACTGCTTGCATGTCTTCTTTTCAGAAGTGCCTGTTCATGTCCTTTACCTATTTTTTAATGGGGCTGTTTTTTTCTTGTGGAATTTTATTGATTCTGGTTAGACCTTTGTCAGATATATAATTTGCAAATATTTTCTTCCATTCTATAGGTTGTCTGTTTACTCTGTTGATAGTATCTTCTGCTGTGCAGAAGCTCCTTAGTTTAGTTAGGTTCCACTCATCAATTTTTGTTTTTGTTGCAATTACTTTTGGGAAGTTAGCCATAAATTCTTTGCCAAAGCCAATGTCAAGAAGGGTATTTCCTGGGTTTTCTTCTAGGACTTTTATAGTTTGAGATCTTATATTTGAATCTTTAATCCTTCTCAAGTTAAATTTTTCTATATGGTGAAAAGTAGGGGTCCATTTTCATTCTTTTGCACATAGTGAACAAGTTATTCTTGCACCATTTTTGAATCAGTCCTTCCCCATTACATTTTTTTGAGACAGAGTCTCACTGTGTTGCCTAGGTTGTAGTGCGGTGGCGTGATCTTGCCCACTGCAACCTCCATCTCCTGGGTTCAGGCAATTACCCTGCCTCAACCTCCTGAGTAGCTGGGATTACAGGCATATACTGCCATGCCCAGCTAATTTTTCTATTTTTTTTTTCAGTAAAGATGGGGTTTCACCATGTTGGCCATGCTGGTCTTGAACCTCTGACCTCAAGTGATCCACCTGCCTTAGCCTCCCCAAGTGCTGGGATTACAGGTGTGAACCACTGTGCCCAGGCTTACTTATTTTTCTTGACACTGTCAGAGATTAGATAGTTGTAGGTGTGCAGCTTTGTTTCCAGGCTCTCTATTCTGTTCAATTGGTCTATGTGTCTGTTTTTGTATCAGTGCCATGCTGTTTGGGTCACTGTAGCCTTACAGTATAGTTTGAAGTCAAGTAATGTGATGCCACTGGCTTTGTTCTTTTTCCTTGAATTGCTTTGGCTATTCAGGCTCTTTGTTGGTGGTATATGAATTTAAAAAATCGTTTTCTCTAATTCTGTGAAAAAATTACATTGGTAGTTTGACAGGAATAACACCAAATCTGTAAATTACTTTGGGCAGTGTGGCTATTTTAATGATATTAATTCTTTCAATCCATAAGCATGAATTTTCAACAATGTTTTGTATATCTCTTTGAGAGATCTTTTGCCCCCTGGGTTAGTTAATTCCTAGGTACTTCATTTGTGTGTGTGTGTGGCTACTGTAAATGGGACTGTGTTCTTGATTTGGCTCTTAGCTAGAAAGTTTTTGGTGTATAGAAATACTACTGATTTTGGAGATTCAAGATGGCTGAATAGGAACACCTCTGGAGTACATTCCCAGCAAGAACAACACAGAGGGTGACCGATCACCGCATTTCTACATGAGTTTTTATTGCCCACAGACCAGGAGATTCCCGGACTGAAAAGCACCAGAAGATTCCAGCACGGCTGTTTCAGCTGGTGCTGCAGGTCTCCACACAAAAACTCACACAAATCTGAGCAGCTATTTCAACTGGCTCCTGGAACACCTGGGAGACAGAGCCACCCATTCAACTGAAAAAAGCGGGGCTGAAACAGGGAGCCAGGTGATCTGGCTCTGCAGGTCCCACCCCGACAAAGACCAGGAATCTGAAACACTCTGGACTGAGAGTTTTGCAGCAAGCACAGCTGGACCCGGGATGGTCCAGCTTCGTAGGGGGAAGGGCATCAGTCATTACCGAGGCAGTCCACCACGACTGAGGCAGTCCTGTATTACCGAGGCAGTCCTGCTTTACAGAGGCAGTCTGCCATTACCAAGGCAATCCACCTTTACTGAGGCAGTCCTCCATTACCAAGGCAGTCCACTATTACTGAGGCAGACCGCCATTACCGAGACAGTTCTAACTGTACCTCTGTAAACAAAACCACAAGAAGTTCACACAGCAGCTGGGCAGAGTCCATGGTAGCTCAGCAACGCCTCTGCTGGCAGACTGTGACTAGACTATCTCCTTGTTGGGCAGGGCATCTCTGAAAAAAGGCAGCAACACATCTGGAACTTATAAATTACCGTCATCTTCCCAGGACAGAGCACCCGGGAAAAAGAGCAGTTATCAGTTCCGCTGCGGCATACTTAAATGTACCTGCCCATCAGCTCTGAATGAAACAACGGAGCTCCCAGCCTAGCACTTGAGCTCCTAAAAGGAAAAGACTGTCTCCTCAAGCTGCTCCCTGACCCCCACATATCCAAAGAGACACCTCATAAAGGAGAGCTCTGGCCAACATCTGGTGGGTAACCTTCTGCGACAAAGATAACAGAAGAAGAAATCAGCTGCAACCCTTACTGTTTTGCAGCCCCCGCGGGTGATCCCCAGGCAAGCAGAGTCTGGAGTGGATGTCTAGCAGTCCTGCAGCAGAGGGGCCTGTTAGAAGGAAAACTAAAAAACAGAAAGAAAGAACTTCAACATCAACAAAAAGGATGCCCACTCAGAGACTCCATCCGAAAGTCACCAACCACAAAGACCACAGGTAGATAAATCCACTAAGATGGGAAGAAACCAGCGCAAAAAGGATGAAAACACCAAAAAAAAAGAATGTCTCTCCTTCTCTAAGGGATCACAACTTCTCACCAGCAAGGGAACAAAGCTGGATGGAGAATGAGTCTGATGAATTAACAGAAACAGGCTTCAGAAGGTGGGTAATAACAAACTTCCCTGAGCTAAAGGAACATGTTCTAACACAATGCAAAGAAACTAAGAACCTTGAAAATAGGTTAGACGAAGTGCTAACTAGAAAAACCAGCTTAGAGAAGAACATAAATGACTTGATAGAGCTGAAAAACAGCACGAGAACTTCGAGAAGCATACACAAGTTTCAACAGCTGAATCGATCAGGCAGAAGAAAGGATATCAGAGATTAAAGATCAACTGAGTGACGAGAAGGCAAGACTAGAGAAAAAAGAGTGAAAAGAAATGAACAAAGCCTCCAAGAAATATGGGATTATGTGAAAAGACCTAATCTGCACTTGATCTGTGTACCTGAATGTGACTGGGAGAATGAATCCAAGCTGGAAAACACTCTTAAGGATATTCTTCAGGAGAACTTCCCCAACCTAGCAAGGCAGGCCAACATTCAAATCCAGGAAATACAGAGAACGCCACAAAGATATTTCTCAAGAAGAGCAATCCCAAGGCACATAATCATCAGATTCACCAGGGTTGAAATGAAGGAAAAAATGCTAAGGGCAGCAAGAGAGAAAGATCG